CATGTTCACCACATAACCAGTGTTATGCCAAAAATATGAGCATGTCACATATGCAGTAATTCCAGCAAATGTTTATTTCCAGGGTTCTAGAAAGATACAACACATAGAGTTGGGGGTACATTCTGGTCACTTTGTCTGAGTGCAGCCACACTCGTATTGTTCCAGAAATCAAAATGGAGGACTAGTGGAGAGTTTTAAAGGCAGCTGACAGTGATGTCTGTACCTCTGAGCTCTGAATTTTATTTCCTGGACTCCATCCCAATTCATACAGAGGTGAAGGGGAACTGCCCTGCTGAGTGGACACCACAGGCAAATCTAGTCCCTTCTGGAGGTTTTGCAGCGAGCACCGCTGAGCACAGCTCGGCAGCGGGAAATACACTCTGGAATTTTGAGCAAGGCATGATTCCCACGAGGGGACGGTCGTCCTTACTTTGAATAACCAAGATAGGGACAGGGTCAAAGTGACAGCCAGTGACATTAATAATGAAAGACACCATTACTGTGCATTAGGATTGTGCTGAATATTTCACCGACCTCAACCGCCTACTCTCACAAAAGTCTACAACTACGTGCACTTCTGCAGATTCTACAAAGGTCAAGGCTAAGATTCAGATGGGAAGTCACTTTGCAAGAAGTTCTTCCCTGACTTGCCACAGCATTAAATAAGTTTGGATTTGCAGCACAGATTAGATGGTGCGGTGCTTTTCCTGCCTCTGGGGCAAGGATGCACTGTGAGGAATATAATTCACATTCTGACCTATTTCTGACATGTGTATTGAGAAAATGTTTCACAAAGAACTATTTGCTTTCACCATGAATGATGTGTTTTGACAATTTTCTAGTCTACTTTTTTTTTTACTGTCCTATTTACTTATTTTTGTTTTCTTATATTATTTTCTTTATACATTGAATTTCTCTTGTGACCCCCTGTTGGATTGATCACAGATTTTGATCACTTCATTATTTGATCCATTAATTAATATTTTTCTTGGTTCCAAGTAATTTCTTTGGTTCCAAGAGCAAACTGGAATTTCCTTGAAGGTAAGTATTACCACGAAGTCTTACATTCCCTCATTGTCAGAGCTTAATATAAGTTTACAATCTAAGAAATTTGATTTTACCTCTGAAAATTCATAATCTTGGTTAAAGAGAAGAGTCCATGAAAGGATTTCCAGGAAGGGTAAAACTGAGGGACAGGAGACACAGGTCTACCGGGAACCAAAGAAAGTTGCAATTGTAGCTGTTAACACTTTATTTAGAACTATCTCAAGATAGTTTATCATCCATGAATATATTGTTGTAGTTCTTTTCCACCATAGGATTGGGTAGATGTTTAAAGCAAGAGAAATACCTAATCCTCACCCTGTTGTTTCATAAAACAAACCTCTCACCCAAAATGTGTAGTTTGAAGCAAAGCAAATCAGTGAAACAAACCACCCATGAGATTAAGAAGCACAGAATGTCTTCTATTACCATCCAACTATTTCAGAACATGTATTTCTCTAAAATTCATTCAGATTATTTTTATGTAGCAAAAAAAAAATGTACCTTAATTCATGTTTTCTTCTTGGAAAATGATACCCATGCAAACGTTATTTTTCCTTATGCTTCTGTTGGCTTTAAATACGAAATCATTTGTGTCTAAAATTTTAGATAAAATGTTTTTCTTTTATTGCTTGAAGGCACTCGTATCCTATGTACAACCTCTAGATTAATCTTTCTGAACTCTTGGGATTACTTACAAATCACAAACCTCCAAAGAAAATATAACATCAGGTGGAAAAATATATATTGAAAATATTCCTTGTGGGTATCAGGAGAACCGGAGGGAGATAAATACTTGCTTTCAAAACCCTCAGTAGAGTGAAATCCTCGAAACCTACCATACGTTGCTTCAAATGAGACTCGGCCTTGGACAGCGGTCCCCTCAGACCTGTGATACTAACAGCAAAAAGACTACATCATCACTTAAACTTAGGGCCATATTTTGCCACTGATTTTTGTTCAAAGCTCCCACGTGTCAGTGGACAATCCAGGCAGGGAAAGATGGCAGAATCTGTACCCTAGTTTTATTTATTTCATATGTTTACAGCAGTATAAAATAATATATTACATTTACACTCATTGTACTCATGTATTATTATAGCATTCACAGTAACAAACACTAGAGTTAAGACTGAAACTCATCTTTTGTTATAATACCCTGTTTTCGCTCACACAACTGTCTTGAGAATGTGTTCTGAGCTGAAATTCCCTGCTCACTTTCAGCTCGAGGATGTATGGATGTACTGGAAGTTGGAGTTCCATCATTTAGACATTTTTGAGTCTCGTGAAAATTTAGAACTTTTTTGCATCGTGAGTGCAGTGTTTTCACGCAACTCAAAAACACTCAGAGCGTAACACCTCAAACTAAGCATGTGACAAGTTTTCAAGAAATAAAAGCCATTTTTTTTCTAATTTTACAAATACTTCAAAAAATAACAGTGGTTAGAAATACATGCATGCACACTAAAGGTATTAGAATCGTAGTCATATTATTGCCTGCAATACTCTGACGGCGCTCGACTATTTGCATTCCCGAGAATGCTGGAATCTAAAACCTATGTCAAGTTCTCGAAGAAAAAAAAAATACTTGATGGAGCAACAGTTTCACAAATTACTGTATAAGGATTTAGTTTGACATAGCAGAGCGATTTCCTTGAAGTGCTAACAATATATAAAATAATTTGACTACTCCATAGCAGAAAAATATGGAATTTTGTCATCTTCTGTTTTTCCTTGTTAAAAAGGAACACAAAAAGGATGTTAAGTGCAAAGCCTTTACCACTACAAGATCGGAGCTGAAAAAGAGAAAGAACCCAAGAAGTTACAATATGAAAAAATATAAGATTTTCAGAAAAATTACCAAGTATACCAATGCTTTCGGTATTTTTGAGTTCCTTGGGGTGTAAGGGCACACGTACAAATAAGAGGAGAGTGAACTCAAAGGTGATGACCAGGTTATCAGCCAGGAACAAGAAAACCTGCTTGCCCAGCTTCACATTGGCACCCTTCTGACGGAGTCACTCGTGGAGAGATTAACTGCAGTCAGTAACTTGCGGAAGGTAAAATGTTAGAATTCATGTGTGATAGTGTTTATGTTGAAAATGGTGAGAGGTTTTTTTCTCCTTCTATTGGAAAATCAGGAGGATTTCTACATTACAGAGGATCTGACAGCCAATTGGAACACCGTTAAAAAGTGAAATAGGTGAATTAGGAGTTAAAATAGTAAATTTTCTACTACTGTACTTAGTTTGCAATGTTTGATAAAGGCATTGCATTTAATATCTTCATAAAATAAAATATACATATTTCCTTACTATTGCCCAACGGAGATGATTTATTTATTATGATACAGACATCATTATATCTGTAAAGTAATTCAGATGTGGTATTTAAATATTTGATGGAAAACGATTTCACAAAGTTATGCTCACAAGTTAAAAATTAAAATTTTACATGTGGATGAATTATTTTTTAAATTGTCATTTGACATACTTTTGAAACATTTAGACACTGTTTCCACAGGAAAATATTTTGAGTTTTGACTACACTAAAACTAACCATGTTAACAAGGAATGATGTCATGATTGTTCTTTCTGAAGTAGTTTATTGATGAAATATTGTCTAATAATTTGAAGATTATTTTATCAGACACATACAAACTATGGGCGTTGGATATTAGGATGACTAGCTTAAATAGAAAACCTATTCTACAATCTCTGCATACCAATCTAACAAATGATTATCTGGAAACCTTCATGATCGGTTGGTTGCTTTTTCCCATTTTCCGCCCCCTTCCTTGGCGGATAACGTTTCAGACAAATCACTGAAATCATATCTTTATTCTGGTGTAACTTCTGATTTATTCTGGATGCAAATAGTTGAATGAATAACCTCCTCATTAGGATTTTATATTTAAGTAATTCTATTTATCCCACTAAGTTGGGTCACGGTTTTGCTGTTTTTTTATTCTTGTAGATTGATGATATAACCTAAGAACTAAGATACAAACTATTAAAACTGGTTACCACAATATATTGAAAAAAACTAACACGCAAACACTTAGCATAAGAAGTTGGCTCCAGGGAGATTCTATGCAATGATATTAAAGGCTAAATAATGGAAGGTAAGGACATTTTCTTTAAGTCGAGTGAATTGGTATCGCTACTGTTGGTGAGGGGGCTATAACTTTCTTTCCAATGCGTGTAATAAGATGGAGGCATTTCCCTCCATGAAGGTAACATGAGGATGGAAAGGTTTTCACTGAAGCAGGGTGATTCAACAAGAAAATTATTTTCTTGTTTAATTAAAAAGAAGTTACAGTAAACAGACTTTTCCCCCCAGTTAAATTATGTGGAGACATATTTCTTTGCTAAAATAACCTGTGGAAATAGGTATGTAGGATGGGTGTCTTTCTGTGTCCCGGAGGATGGATTAGCTTCAGAGATATGGTCAGGGTCTCCGGAAGCCTGACCCTTGGGACACATATATTGATTGGGATTATGGCATTTTAATAACAAATGTGGTAACAGTCAAGTGAGAGGCACCAAGATATCACTCGTATATACATATCAAGGGCTCCATAGATACATATGCATTTTAATGTTCAGTCTAGGGGCCAGGAGTCCCATTCGGATGAGATAAAATTAGATGGAAACATTCGTTATATGTTAAGTTTCAGTCTGTTCTTTGATAAGAACACAGTTCAAACTAAGTGTGCATATGAGATCAGCCAAAGATTAAGAAAGATGTTTCCAAATAGGTCTGTAATTCTGTTTGGTAAACATTTAGATGTAACGTGGAGGGATTTTTTTAGAGGGCAGTTGTGACAATTCTCTCTCTATATTTTTTTGCATAAAAGATTGTCTCACCTTGTCTAAGTTTTCTTCTCTTCATTGTGTTTCAACAAGCAATAAACAACAGTAGGAAAAAAGAAAAATATGTAAAAGAAAGGAGAATGCATCTTTCTGAATTTAATAATTGACCATGTTGACATAGAAGGAAATGGCAAACTTCACTTTTCAAGGTTGATTCATGAAGAATTTTCTCCTTCATAAAACACTGACTACATTTCTGCTATCAAATTGTCACAAACAAGATAATATTAAAACAATTATGCACCATGTGTCTACTTCCAAGTTAATCTGCTTCAAATTTAGAGATGCTTTCTATCTTATAGTTATTCTTTACCAGTTCAGATATTTATCTGTCTCTATATCTTCATAGAGAGTTATAAATAGATTTTATATCCATGTGTTAAGAGTCACAAAACTATGTAAAACTATGTAAAATAAAATTCTGTGTGAGTTCTATGATTGAGGACTTCTCAAAATAGTAATCTTCAATTACATATTTTACACCACAAAATGTACAGACACCCAGTGTTTTTTCTAACAACAAATACAGGTGAATTTATAGATTCTTTATAAAAGCTTGAAATGAGTCTAAATTCAAAGCCATAGAAATAGAATCGAAATAACGTTGCTCGTTAGATATTTTGACAGTGCCCTTCCGTGCTCCTCACACATCGACAGCTATATCTTTGGCATTGAAAATTCAGCTTGAGTTCTCGACAAAATTTTGTAGCTTAGAGCTTCTCTTTCTTTTAAACAAGGAAAAACAGGGTTGAATACACTATGAAAACTGGGAGGAAACTACCAATGGTGATTTTTTTTTCCTAAGTAACTTTATCTTTGGGACCCTGAATTACCTTTTAATTTATAGTATGATGTGGACTGCATGAGTCCAGTCAAAAACCAACTGAGTTGTACCACATTTTAGGAAATTTATATAATATAATATATATATTTTATATTTATTTAGAAGCTTTGAAATAGTACAGTAAACACTTTGCCACACGGTGTATAAACTACAGAATGTCTTTGATATTTTGTGGGTCGTCAGAATACAACATTTTTTATAACCCACAGGTGAAAACAACAGAATCACAATCTCTCTTGTAAAGTTGGAATAGTTTGGGGGACACTTGATCACACAAAAATAATATAAAACAGTCAAGTTTAAAACAGTGGTATTGCATTTAGAATGCAAAAATTTCCTTTTTCATTATGACTGGCTTCTCGTGGTGGATAGAAACATCTAGAGGGCTCAGTGACATTTGGAGAGAGAAAGATAGAGTGCTGTAAACAGGCACACACTGATCGCAGAGGCAGAAGCAGCTGCCTCAAAAGTTTCTACAGTTCTGCACACTTCAACTCATTTCTCAGGCCTGCTGAGAGCAATTAGGTCCTAGAGCGGCCACGATGATCCCGCCGGCATCTAACACTCAGTTACACGCAACTAACTGATGGCCAAGATAATGAAGTTGAAAAGTTGATGCTTTTGTTGGTCGACTTTGTGCAAATCATGCTGCTTCAGGTAAGTCCTGTAGAATTGACTAGCATATCCTTTTCCGTGCTGTGAAAAAGAAAGAAAAAGACTCTAAGAAAAAGAGCCTGCGGTTGGGAGTTCAGAACTGCAGTTATGGCCATCAAGGCCAACGCCGGGGTCATGTCCTACCCCAGACCAGACCCCTCCTGTCCGAGCCGGGCAGTGTCACCTTGGCTTCAAACACACACAGTCATTAGGGGGCTGGGCTTCCTGAAAATGACAATTTTGATGTTTTTTACAAGTCAGTTTTGCGGGGGGGTATGAATAGATTATATCCCGACACCAGTGATGTGGCCATAACTTCCGAGTTACCCTAGAACCATCCCCACTTTACTCTCTGTGCCAGATCAGAGGGCACACGGGCGGTCCTTAGATTTCTAGAACAAGTCTTCAGATTATCCGTGAATAATTTGTTATCTATTTAATTTCATAAACTCTCAATTATAGATATACCTATCAATATATAAAATCATATCTAATAGAGAACATTGAACCAGGGAGTGCTTTAAAAATTAAAGGACGATTCACATTTTCTAAGGTTTATTTTACCTCATTTTTAAATTTTTGTCTAAAAACTAAATATTTCTATGACCTATGAAAATCTTAAATGTAAATTCATTCCCTCAAAGAAATCAGGTTTCATAGAAAGAGAGCAAAGGAAAGGTGAGAAAAAAGATTTTTTCCAATTAAAAAAATGGTCCAATTAAAAAAAAAAATGTATTGAACCATGACAGAGCATGTTTAGATTCCATCACTTGGATAGTATACGTATTTTATTTATTTAGCGTTATAAAGGATATACCTTCCCATCACATATGGTCTTTATGATATTTTATCATAAACATAATGAGAGCAAATGTAAGATACAAATATGCTATCAAGAAAACACACTGGCACATATATACATGGATATGTGCACGTTAAAATTTGAGAATGACACTAAATAGCGTAACTGAATTGTTTCCACCTGGGGACTGGATGCTTTTTTTGAAAAAATAAATATCAGAGCCTGTTGGCCAGTTCAGTTCCTCTCCTGTAGTCCCCAGTCATGCTCAGTACATGATCTAATTACATATTTCCTACCTTATTTTCCCTGATTCCATCATTTCTTTTCTCACAGATCAGTTTTAAGCAGACCATCAAACATTTCTTCACTAATTTACTTTTCAGCAGACCTGTATCCATTACAATTGTAAAAGGAATCCTCACTGACAAGAATTAAAGTGAAAATGGATTGTATAATAACTGGTGTTGAAAATAAACACTCTGTTTGGCAATATCACAAAAAATAACACGAGTTAGCTACGAAGAAGGCCAACGCTGTTATGACTTACCTGGTTATAAAGCTACACAGTGAATTGTAGAAACAAGTAGGAACTTTGATCTTTTAAAAATATCAAATCCTATTTTCCTACACTCTGGAATTCAAATTTCCCATTCCATAATAAGTTGAGTATAGTGATTCAGATGTCTTTTGTATGTACTAATCGGATTTTAAAATTCTTCAGTAAATTCAAATAGTATGCTACACAGAAATTCAAGACTATGAAATGAATTGGAACAAATAATTACAGTGATCAAATAACTTCGTGTCCAAATGGAACAATCGTGTGAGTGAAAGGGAGCATTATTAATAATTACACAAGACATAGTCCTGTGCTTTCCTAGACCACAAAAGAAACAGTCACCCTATAAATAGTATTAATTTACAAAACCAACAGAAATATTACTTATAGGTTGAAGCTTTCTCTTTTAAAATTATAAATCAGAAAATACTCATTTATAGAAAAATCTCATTCTAGAAGTTCGAGGATAAAAGGAACTCTACGCTTACTCAACCTATAACGATTATGTGAAAAAAAAAAAATGACTATACTGGAAAACGCCATATTAGTATAAATGCAGAAATTAGTCACCCTAGCACATGTTTAAACTTAGAGGATTTCTAATTAGGTTAAATGATTCCTTATGGGGAAAGTGTGAGCACAGATATATGTTCATTTGATTTAGTCAGAACACAAAAATAAATTGCTTTATTAAAAAGGATCTCAGTCAAAAGAACACAGACGTTTCGGGCACATTATACAAAGTATATTAAACATAAACATGAGCTTAAATGGCATATTTTAGTTGCAGTGTAGGATTACATGTGTGCCGACTTTATTGAAAGGGCACCTATTCCAATAGTTGCCTGAATAATGTAATTAATTGCCTTTTATTAAATCTAACAGTGCAAGGACTAAGGCCGGGTCAGGACAAATGATCCTGGGGAGGGAAGATCTTTTGTCCCTTTGGGAAGCTAATTTCCCAAGTGTGATGGGCCGCCAGAAAAACTACACAAAAATGAAATAGTGTATTGTTTCTAGAGATAAAACTAGCGTGCAGTTTTCCTTCACGGCTTTGAAAAGGTGAGTTTGAACAGTGAGTGACTATTCTTGGGCGCTATTTGGGTTAATGATAGAAAAGTAACTCCCAAAGACTGTTTTTCAAAATCAGTGCTATTATATTTTAGAGTCAGCCCCAAGGACAGTCATTCTACAGTATCAGCTGGCATAGTTGTATGTTTGTTGCAGCGTTTCAAGTGAGGCAGGGCTCAAACCGTGGAATCTCTGCATTTTCTGATGTGGTCAATGTATGTTTTGGAATTTTCATGATACTTGAAGAATTTCTGCTTTTCTTTTCATTTCACAAATCATGTTCCCCTAGCTGTTCATCAGCACAGCAGGGAACTGGTCTCTTGATATGGATGAAAGATTTCCTTTTCAATCATTTAAAAATAGGAGAGAGACTGTCAATTTTCTCTTTTACCTCTGAATTTATCATTTACTACGTGTGTCCTTCATAGCGAGTCACAGAAAAGGCACATTTATCTTAATATTTGAACTAGAGAAGAAAAATTACTCTTAATGGAAGATGCCCAAGCATACAGCTTCCTAAAATTTGGCATATCTATGTTTGTCATTAGCCCTTATACATATGTATACATTTGGAATATATATATAAATTTAATGAAAATTTCATGGTGTTTATATTTTCTTTTATTGCAAAGTCCTGTTATTGCCTCTGACAATTCATGAGGTGTAGTAAACTGTGGAGTATTTTAAAAATTCCAATTAATCATTCAAGAAGAATTACTGTAAACATGTGTATTGCAAAAATAACTGTAAAATCATCAGTACTGATCTCTTATTTATAACACCTGCAATAGTATAATCCTAGCCTGGTGAAAACTGATTTTGTATGATATATTAAAATAAAAATTTGAGGGGACTCCGAGGTGGCACAAGGGGTTAAGTGTCAGCACTATGAAGCTATCAGCAGCCACTGCAGCACGAGTTCAATCCCCAGCCAGGGAGCTATCCACAAGTCCCAGCAGACCTCTCCTGTCTCGCCCGCTGCTCCCCTCAGCAGTGTGTTTCAGGGGATCCACCTGTTCTGCTCCCCACTCTGTCTCTGGTGGGTCCTCTCACCCCCCACACCTCTGGCCTGTACCCCAGTTCTTATATGCATAAATAAATCTTTAAAAAATAAAATAAATAAAAATTGGATCAGTTGACTATTCAGATTTCTATACTTGGATTGCAGAAAGCAAAACACCCTTTATCCTTTATGATAGTGTAACACACAGAGGAAAAAGGATAAATAACACTTGTGAGAGATCTAACCCGGTATGCAAGTGGACAGATGAAAGGACACCCTGACGACTGAGCTGCTCATCCCCACAGAAACTTCCAGAGGTTGGGGTCAGCAGTCGACTGAGAGCGCGTTCCTGTGGAGGGTGCCTGTCCAGGCCTCCCTACTGTCTCTCCTTCCTCAGTTGCTTCTGAGGATTCTCTTTAAAAGTCTCTCTTAAGAAATTTCGTCTATTAAACCCTAAGGTGCAGAAGCGAGCATCTGAGTGTTGGTTATTAAAAGTGGGTCACTCTTTGCTTTGTCTTTTATCTTTGCACCCTTCTACTTGCTTTTGTTTTGAGAATCAGAGCTGTACGTCATTCAGCTTGCCAATGTTCTTCCACACACATAATTCTTAAAAATATATATAATGAAAAATTGCTTTGTGCTATGGCTTGATGTTAGTTATAAAACCCTGAAGGCCTTCTGTTATTATGATGCATTATCTTTCTCTCCAGTAATAGTAATAATTTATTTCACAATGTTTAGCCATCTCCATGCTAAATTTCCTCTTATCCTCTCATCAAACATTACGCTTCTTTATTCTAACTTGACAGAGTTAAGGAATCATAGAATATTTCTAAAAAAAAGAAAAAACAAAAAGAGTTCATTTAGAGGAGATGGTTTCCAGATGTAAACTTGGTGAGTCTTTTAGAAGAGAAACCAAATGACTCAAACAATCCCTCAGATCATTCATGTAGTAAATCTGTATAAAACCAAGTGATTATTTTTAGCTGGTCTACATGTGTATGCTATACTTAGAGTATCATTTGCAATTAATTAATATTTATTAAATGGAAAGATAAATCCATGGATACTTTAGAAGACAAAAATCAGCAAGTATGGTTTTGTGAAATGAAAGAACAGAACTGGGGCCTCCCTGGTGGTGCAAGGGGTTAAGTCTCAGCACTATCAAGCCATCACCAGCCACTGCAGCACAAGTTCAATGTGCAGCCAGGGAGATACCCACATGGCACAGCAGACCCCTCCTGACTCCCTGCTGCTCCCCTCAGCACTGGATTTCAGTAGATCCACTTCTTCTGCTCCCCACTCTGTCTCTGGTGAACCTTCTCACCACTCCCACCACACACCTCTGGCCTATACCCCAGCTCTTCTATGTATAAATAAATAAAATAAATCTTAAAAAAAAAGAAAGAAATGTGCGTTTAGTATGAGAAAAACGAGCCATTCCTGAGAGAGCAGACACGCTTGCCCATCACCGCATTCTCGTCACAGCCCTTCCAGCTCTGGCAACCCTCACTCACCAGCTCTGCTAAGAATTTGATCTTACCAGTTCTGCTGTCTTTCGGGGTGATCTAGACCATCTACCAATTTAGGGTGACGGATTAAAAGGA